ACCCAATTGCTAGGACGGGACGACCCATCCTGGAACCAGGTCGACCCCGGGACGCTAACTCGTCCCGAAGCAGATCGCCAACAAAGAAGCAACAGAAAAGAGTAAACTCAAGTATCGATCAGCCAACACCAGATGGTCCGGAGAACGAGATCATCGTAAACTTGAGCAGTCAGAGGCCCAGGCGAACAGCCGCTCCCTCCAGGAGAGCATTAGAAACACTAGACGCCAATAGACAGATCACACAGCACAACAGCCAGCCAATGGAAATCGACGGTCAAGAATGTTAATAGAAAACACGCTTACAATACTACAGTACAACGTCAGAAAATCAAGAGACACAGTCATGGCCACGCTTCTACGAGATCCCGATATAGGACGATACGACATTCTCGCCATCCAAGAGCCCTGGAAGAACCCATTTGACACGACAACTCATCACCCAGCCAAGGATCAGTTTCACTTATGCTACCCAGACAAGGACCGGGACTCCCCAGCGAGGGTCTGCTTTTTCATCAACAAGAGACTTGATCACTCCAAGTGGCACTTCAAAGTGGAAAGCAGAGATCTCTGCTCTCTAGATCTAGAACTCGGAGCAGAAGAAGAGCAACATATCGTGATACATAACGTATACAACCCTACACAAGACGCCCCAGAGAGACGAGGTACGCTTCCACTTCTGGACCAAGTCGTAGAACTCTCATCACAACATGAGCAAGTTATCGTCGGCGACTTCAACCTCCACCACGAGCTATGGGGAGGTGATCGGGCCAAGCGGGCAGACCCTAACGCCGCTGAGCTTATCACAATCATGGAAGATCACTACCTCACGAGCAATCTTGCTCCAGGTACCATCACATACGAAGAACGTGACGGAAGAACAACCATAGACCTATGCCTCACAACACCTGGCCTCCCAGACAGACTGATTCGATGCGAGACCGCAGCAGACATGGATCACGATTCTGACCACCTACCCATCGTCACTTCACTAGACCTAACCGTCGTCCAACTACCAGCCAAGGTCAGACGGAACTGGAAAGCTATAGATGAAAAGGCGTTTGTTTGCTGTCTTCAGCGCGAGCTTCCGCCACAGCGAAGACCAAGAACAAGAACGGCTTTAGACAGATATGTGAAGGAAGTGATGGCAGCCATATCGACGGCTGTCGAAGAAGCAGTTCCGAAGACGAATCCGTCAACGAGATCAAAACCAGGGTGGAACGAAGAGTGTGCCGAAGCCTTGGCAGAATCAAAACGACTCCGTCGACAATACAGCTTATATCACACCGAAGAGGCATGGGAAGCATACCGAGTAGCGCGTAACCGCAAAGGCA